GTGGTGGCTCCTGTGGTTGCATCTGCATCGTATAACAGGTAATTGTAGATTGCTGCTGGGCTGCTTGTGCAGAATCCCAAATTCCTCCAGCATTGGTCTCGGGCTGTGGAGAAGAGCTGACATAACCGTTTCCCTCTTGCACGGCTACTTGCTGTTGTTGGGTTTCTGGCACTGAAGGAGGCCATGTTTGTTGTTGCTCTGCGGAGGCAATGGCAGGGGCTTCCAGTTGGGCTTGAGGGGGAGTTGGCCCAGGGGCAGTCACATTAGAGGTTGGCTCTTGGTCACTTAAAGGGGTGGTCACTGCGGTGGGGGCGACAGCAGGTGTGGGTGCACTATTTTCGGCATGCTGAGGCATGTCCTGGTTGGTTACTTCCATCTGTGGAGACCAGGGGGCAGAGCTGGGATCTATCACAGGCTTTGGGGCCACCGGCGGAGGGGTCTTGTGTTTCGACCGTGAGGACTGGAGGAAATTACAAGCCTCAGCGCCAAGGCTGAGGTAGTCTTCCTCGGGTCCTGACTCGAAACCCATCTTCTTGGAACTCATGTTGAGTAGGTTCAGCAGATCAGGATTCGGTGACATCTTTGGTGTCTCTTTAAACGTGAACATGGGCTTGGCAACATTTCTCCTCTTTGAATCCAGAAGGCCCGACCTGATCGCCGGGGTGGCAATGCGCTCATCACGGGAGGCGATCTGCTCTCCTTGGCCTTGATTAGTCCCAGTCATTGCAGGAGAGTACGGTGTCGCCGCCATGTTCTGAACCAAAAAGGGCTTTGCGGTGCGATTGCCGAGAGAACGCTGCGCTTCGTGGCTTTGATGTTGCACGGGGCCGTGCTGACCTTGGTGATACGTTTGCTGTTGCTCGTACGACTGCTGCTGATACTGTTGGTAATGCTGTTGTTGTTGGTACTGCTGCTGCTGCTGCTGGTATTGCTGGTATTGCTGCTGCTGGTTCACATCCATGTACGCGTGGTTCTCCACGGCGGGCTGCGTGTAAGCCGCTTCCACTTTCTGTGCCCCTTCCACGGGCATCCCCTGGCGCCGCAGCTCTTCGTGCTCGGCCGCAATCTCGTCCATTCGCTGGCGCCTCTGGGCGAACATGAGGGCGCCTTTGCCCTTGGTTTCGGGCAAACACTCCATCGGACTTTGCTTCTGCTCAACGTCAAGTAGGCTTTTATCCAAGCAGATCGTCAGTACGCCTTTGCCACTGCGGGCATTCGTGAGGAAATGCGTCTCTAAATCCGACCGGTCTTGATCAGCGAGCGTGAACTCTAGAACATGAACTCCACCCTGGGTGCTGTCGTCGTCCTCCTCCTCTGTGCTGTCGTCTCGCTTGTCCTCTCCCGTGCCGTAGCTCACCAAGGTGTACTTTTTCGCTCTCTGACGGTGTTTCTTGAACATCAACAGGCCCTTGTTGTTCGGGTTGGGCTGCGCGGCACTAAGGAGAAGGGCGATCCGCTTACATTTGGACTTGGCCTCCTTCACCTGCTTCTCGGAGAGACTCTCGCTGCGCCTGAACCCTGCGGGGAGACACATTGATTGACAGGTTGTCTGGTCAAGGAAAGTCAACGATTAAAAAAAACAACCACAACATCAATCGATCACCTCTGAGTTTGCTTTACAAAATGGACCGTCAACATAAATAAAGCACAACAAATACCAATCAAATATTGAGCTGCTTTGTCCAAAATACTATCACGCCATCCACTCGCCCTCATTTGCAAGTCATAAAGCCGCAAAGCAATTACAAGTCTTTGACCCGTGTCAAAGCCGCGGAGAGCACGTTGCATTATATCACCATTCCCATAAAGTGGTTGCAAATTTACTCCGATTCACGTCTTCCGAGTCTGCACCGCATTGACGATGAACTTTCAATCATTTAACAATAAGAGGACAAGTATTCGCTTGAATTTTCGGCAAGACTAACCTGAAGGTGGTGAGGGCAGCGCGAGTGAGGATCCAACTCACTCTTTTAGCACAGTTAAAGCACCCTGTCGGAGGGGAGGATCAGGTAACAGTTTTCGGGGTGCACATGTTGGTGTCTGTCAAAGGGGCCGCACTACTGGAGCCATCATCAACGCGTTGCGGGTATATTTATGGCCTCCGCAACAGCTCTAAAAAAAATACGCCTAGGTAACTCTCATCAAACCTTTTCGGGGCTGTGATCTATTATATCTATTTTATTTTTTGACGCCACTCGGACTGGATTCATATTTGGACAGTTCATTCAAAGCAACGGGTGCCATCTGCCAGCTGCAGTGGGCGACGTGCTATTTTCGGGAACGCCGGACATCATGCTTTGGAATGCAAGTATGATGTTGTCAAATAAACTTTTAACACACGCACAGACGCGCAGACACTCTCAAGAAGCAACACATTCCAATAACTGTACTCACTGGCGTGCCTTGCTCGGTGCTTGTTGGGTTTTTCTTGATCGGAATCGGTATCCTGCTCCTCGCCGGGCGTTCCCTCATCTGAGGGGATTTGGAAAGCGACACTAAAAGAGCCGGGAAGTTCACAGGGCCCTCCTCCCACGTCTCGGGATCCGGTGCTCGCCCCGGGGCCTCCCACCCCGCCGCTCAGGATGCCCCTCCCTGGTGATGCTGATGCTGCCGGCTCCTTCCCTTGCACCACTCCGTGATGGCTGAGCGGCTTTCGGTCGGAGGACGGAGGTGCCTCCTGTGTGCCGCTGGTGATGGTATGCTGCTCTCCCTCCATACCGTGCGCGCTGCCCAGAGAGGTACAGCTCATGTTGTCCAAGGTCTGCTGGGAAAGGGACAGCAAAGGCGTATCACCGGGATCCCTGTGCGGTTCTTCATCAGAAATTTCCTCCTGGGACTCGGATATGTAGAGCTCTCTCAGCTTTAAAGGTTCCTCGTCGCCTCTCGATCTGGAGGGGGAAATGAGATGCTGCTATTAAATGGTGCTGAACAAATTTCATTCCGTACACACATTTTCGATGGCGCTTGTTCTCATTAGGGTCGTATGTATACTGGAGCTACATCCTGAACTGGTCACGTACGGATAACCAAGTTGTCATATTCACACCAATGGACAATTTAGGTCCCTAACATCTGCAATTGGCAGACAACTGGTTCAGGGTGTCCCCCGCCTACTGCCCGAAGACAGCTGGGATCGGCTGCAGCACGCCCGCGACCCTTGTAGAAAATGGATGGATATTTCATGATTCATAGTTTTTGTGACATTTTTGTTTGGTGGTGTGTCATGAAACATTTCCAACACTTGTCCACCGTGCTGCCTCTGAGGGTGTTTTAAAAAGCTCATCGAAAAACTTAAATCAAGGCAAATTTTGCTTGGTAATGGCCTGCAAAGATGTTTGTTTTTACCTTTAAGCACTGGTGGGAGTTTTGGAGACTAGGTATATATGTTTACTTTTTCAAAGAAATATTACCAAGTCATTTTTTCTATTTTATCTTCAGATAAATTTGCTTTATTTTGATGATATATTCCTCTTGGTTTCATTTTTCTTTTTTGCTGTGTAGCCTTGTAGCTATTAAAAATGTTTTGGCGCTGGGTTGTTGAGTGTGGCTGTCAGTCGGTCTGACAAAAACAAAGCGAAATGAGGTACCTCTTGAGTAGTAGCCTGAGGCAGCCTCCTGACGCGTTGATGAGGGCCCGGGCCTGCCAAAGGGGCAATCCCGCACACGGTTTTCCGTTCAGGGACACCACCTCGTCGCCGTCTCGTACGCCGGCCTGGAAAGCATTGCCGCCTTCCTCCAGCTGCAAACGACAACATGTTCAAGTCACATTACTCACCACCTCCCAGAGTCTCTGAATATATTGTTCATCTTCTAAAAATTAAAAATGAAATGTGCAAGTCTTAAAGTGATGCATTTGAAATGGCAGTTATCGCAGTGAAGGATGTTTTTACTCCCTTGTAATTGCTTCCCACAGCCCATAAAACGCCTCATTAATAGGACAACTTAAATAAGCGGAAATGTGCCATAAATCTTACAAGGCTGGAGGGGGCTGTAAGAAATGACTTGGGCAGGAAAGCAGAGTGAATTAAAAACAATGTAAAAAAAAACCCCTCTTAAAATAAATTGACTTGACCGAGGCAAATAGAATCATGTCTCAAATGGTCATTTATTTTTCACCTTTGAGCTCTGAGTTGGACGGTGGCATTCGTATTGAATTGCAACCTGAGATTCACGACATCATCCTTACGTCACTGTCCATCGTCAACTTTTCTCATCTACTTCCAGAAAAAAATGTATTCCCTCATTTAATATTCGTTCAACTCACCTTCATTCCTAATTAACCACCACAACGGAGCTTTAACTTCTCAAATACGAACTCTTTCAATAAACATAAAATATACACTCAGACTATTGGGCAAGAATCACTCGCTCTCAGCGACCGTGGGCTTCCACACCTGAGCGCAGCTTTTTTTGGCCGTAAACTTTGGTTTTGGCGCCACGCCAGTGTTGCCGCTGGTTGTAGAGCCAGGCGGTGAAACTACAGGGAAACTCGGCGCTACGCTAGCAGGAAGGGGCTGCTGGAAGGCGATTGTTGTGGGTGAAAGGTACGGAGGACTACCAGCTCCTTGATAGGGGACTTGTTGGGGCGGGTACTGGGGACTGGGCAATTGAGGGGTTTGTTGGTTATATGGTTGCCAATAAACACCACCTGGTGATTGCTGGTGAGGATCAGAAGGGGTATAAGCGTTAGAGGTTGGCTGGTAGTTGCCATCGTAGGCTTGCTGGGGGTACGGCGCACTAAATGAGCCAGGTGACTGAACTGGGGCCATTTGCTCATAAGGTTTCTGGTTTTGGGGTGAACAGCTGGGCTTCGGAGCAGGCTCCTTCGCACCTTCTCCTGCAGACCCGTATGTAAAGAGCGAGGCACTAAGTTGGTAGGGTTGATGCTTCATGACATCAACGACATCAAGTGGTTTCGGGGCAGGTCCTTGTTTGCCTTTTTTCTTGGCTTTGGACATAGGGCCGCTAGAAGGGGGCTGCTTCGACGCGGCCGGCGGATAAGAGGGGGACTGGATGGGATTGAAACCCCGTGACGGCGGAGCACGTACGTTAGGGGTGTATTTCCACTCGTTTGGCAAGGAGGCAGTCGGCGACGTGGATCGACTCGCCATATGGGCCTGCACGGTCTCTGAGTCCACCACGTACTTCTCCATGCGGGACTGCCTCTTCGCAAACATGTCAGCTCCTTTCCCTCGGACGGCCGGCATCTCGTAAGCTGAACTGGCAGACGATGGGTTCAAGACGGTAGCCAAGGGGTTGATGACAGGGGGTGAACCTTTCTGACCAGAGGGGAAAGCGTTACTTCTCTGTGGGCCCCTGCTTTGTTGGGTTTGCCATGGTTTGGGTAAAGGTTGAGTGTTGGCCGCAGGCGTTTGCTGGGACTGTGGTACCCAGGCAGGTGTTTGAGGTTGAGCCGGCGGCCACGCGTTTATCAGAGGCTGCTGCGGCGCTGTCTTCAAAGGTGCTTGTTGCCAGTTCGGCTGTGTCTGTGGCTGAACGGACTGGTCCCAGGACTGCTGATGTTGGGCCGGACCTTGCTCGGCCTCCCAGGCATTAGTGGGACGCTGGACCTGTTCCGGAGGTTGCTGGGCCCAAGATGGCTGGAGCTGAGGCTGGGCAGGAACCGGCGGCCATGGACTCAAACCGGCTGGAGGCTGCATCTGTGGTTGCGCTTGGGCTGTTTGGGTCCAAGATGGTTGTGCAGGAGGCCAGGTATTAACTGGAGGTTGTGCTTGAGGCTGAGCTGGAGCCCAATGTTTATCTGGTGCTTGGGTTTGCGGCCAGGCTTTTTGCTCTATGGGTTGACCCCATGCCGGCTGGGATTCAGGCTGAATCCAAGGACCTTGTGATTGGGATTTGGCCAGTGCCCATGTACGTTGAGAGTCTACTTGCGGAGCTTGGTGCTGTTGCGGCTTCAGCATCGGTTCTTGTGATCGACCCCAGGTCGGCTGCATTTGCTGGACTTGCGGCTCCGGTGTGTGCGTCCAGTTTTGTTGTGGTTGAGACTGGGGTGGATCTTGGGGTTGACACGGTTGAACGTGTGGCTGCGCTTGCTCTGTTTGACTCCAGGAGGCCTGATTTTGTGGTGTCCAGGTATCGGCAGGGGGCTGAGACTGCACTTGACTGTGAGTGGATTGGGGTGTCGCCCACTGATGTTGTAGAGAGGATTGACTTGGTTGTGGCTCCTGTGGTTGCATCTGCATCGTATAACAGGTAATTGTAGATTGCTGCTGGGCTGCTTGTGCAGAATCCCAAATTCCTCCAGTATTGGTCTCGGGCTGTGGAGAAGAGCTGACATAACCGTTTCCCTCTTGCACGGCTACTTGCTGTTGTTGGGTTTCTGGCACTGAAGGAGGCCATGTTTGTTGTTGCTCTGTGGAGGCAATGGCAGGGGCTTCTAGTTGGGCTTGAGGGGGAGTTGGCCCAGGAGCAGTCACATTAGAGGTTGGCTCTTGGTCACTAAAAGGGGTGGTCACTGCGGTGGGGGCGACAGCAGGTGTGGGTGCACTATTTTCGGCATGCTGAGGCATGTCCTGGTTGGTTACTTCCATCTGTGGAGACCAGGGGGCAGAGCTGGGATCTATCACAGGCTTTGGGGCCACCGGCGGAGGAGTCTTGTGTTTCGACCGTGAGGACTGGAGGAAATTACAAGCCTCAGCGCCAAGGCTGAGGTAGTCTTCCTCGGGTCCTGACTCGAAACCCATCTTCTTGGAACTCATGTTGAGTAGGTTCAGCAGATCAGGATTCGGTGACATCTTTGGTGTCTCTTTAAACGTGAACATGGGCTTGGCAACATTTCTCCTCTTTGAATCCAGAAGGCCCGACCTGATCGCCGGGGTGGCAATGCGCTCATCACGGGAGGCGATCTGCTCTCCTTGGCCTTGATTAGTCCCAGTCATTGCAGGAGAGTACGGTGTCGCCGCCATGTTCTGAACCAAAAAGGGCTTTGCGGTGCGATTGCCGAGAGAACGCTGCGCTTCGTGGCTTTGATGTTGCACGGGGCCGTGCTGACCTTGGTGATACGTTTGCTGTTGCTCGTACGACTGCTGCTGATACTGTTGGTAATGCTGTTGTTGTTGGTACTGCTGCTGCTGCTGCTGGTATTGCTGGTATTGCTGCTGCTGGTTCACATCCATGTACGCGTGGTTCTCCACGGCGGGCTGCGTGTAAGCCGCTTCCACTTTCTGTGCCCCTTCCACGGGCATCCCCTGGCGCCGCAGCTCTTCGTGCTCGGCCGCAATCTCGTCCATTCGCTGGCGCCTCTGGGCGAACATGAGGGCGCCTTTGCCCTTGGTTTCGGGCAAACACTCCATCGGACTTTGCTTCTGCTCAACGTCAAGTAGGCTTTTATCCAAGCAGATCGTCAGTACGCCTTTGCCACTGCGGGCATTCGTGAGGAAATGCGTCTCTAAATCCGACCGGTCTTGATCAGCGAGCGTGAACTCTAGAACATGAACTCCACCCTGGGTGCTGTCGTCGTCCTCCTCCTCTGTGCTGTCGTCTCGCTTGTCCTCTCCCGTGCCGTAGCTCACCAAGGTGTACTTTTTCGCTCTCTGACGGTGTTTCTTGAACATCAACAGGCCCTTGTTGTTCGGGTTGGGCTGCGCGGCACTAAGGAGAAGGGCGATCCGCTTACATTTGGACTTGGCCTCCTTCACCTGCTTCTCGGAGAGACTCTCGCTGCGCCTGAACCCTGCGGGGAGACACATTGATTGACAGGTTGTCTGGTCAAGGAAAGTCAACGATTAAAAAAAAAAAACAACCACAACATCAATCGATCACCTCTGAGTTTGCTTTACAAAATGGACCGTCAACATAAATAAAGCACAACAAATACCAATCAAATATTGAGCTGCTTTGTCCAAAATACTATCACGCCATCCACTCGCCCTCATTTGCAAGTCATAAAGCCGCAAAGCAATTACAAGTCTTTGACCCGTGTCAAAGCCGCGGAGAGCACATTGCATTATATCACCATTCCCATAAAGTGGTTGCAAATTTACTCCGATTCACGTCTTCCGAGTCTGCACCGCATTGACGATGAACTTTCAATCATTTAACAATAAGAGGACAAGTATTCGCTTGAATTTTCGGCAAGACTAACCTGAAGGTGGTGAGGGCAGCGCGAGTGAGGATCCAACTCACTCTTTTAGCACAGTTAAAGCACCCTGTCGGAGGGGAGGATCAGGTAACAGTTTTCGGGGTGCACATGTTGGTGTCTGTCAAAGGGGCCGCACTACTGGAGCCATCATCAACGCGTTGCGGGTATATTTATGGCCTCCGCAACAGCTCTAAAAAAAATACGCCTAGGTAACTCTCATCAAACCTTTTCGGGGCTGTGATCTATTATATCTATTTTATTTTTTGACGCCACTCGGACTGGATTCATATTTGGACAGTTCATTCAAAGCAACGGGTGCCATCTGCCAGCTGCAGTGGGCGACGTGCTATTTTCGGGAACGCCGGACATCATGCTTTGGAATGCAAGTATGATGTTGTCAAATAAACTTTTAACACACGCACAGACGCGCAGACACTCTCAAGAAGCAACACATTCCAATAACTGTACTCACTGGCGTGCCTTGCTCGGTGCTTGTTGGGTTTTTCTTGATCGGAATCGGTATCCTGCTCCTCGCCGGGCGTTCCCTCATCTGAGGGGATTTGGAAAGCGACACTAAAAGAGCCGGGAAGTTCACAGGGCCCTCCTCCCACGTCTCGGGATCCGGCGCTCGCCCCGGGGCCTCCCACCCCGCCGCTCAGGATGCCCCTCCCTGGTGATGCTGATGCTGCCGGCTCCTTCCCTTGCACCACTCCGTGATGGCTGAGCGGCTTTCGGTCGGAGGACGGAGGTGCCTCCTGTGTGCCGCTGGTGATGGTATGCTGCTCTCCCTCCATACCGTGCGCGCTGCCCAGAGAGGTACAGCTCATGTTGTCCAAGGTCTGCTGGGAAAGGGACAGCAAAGGCGTATCACCGGGATCCCTGTGCGGTTCTTCATCAGAAATTTCCTCCTGGGACTCGGATATGTAGAGCTCTCTCAGCTTTAAAGGTTCCTCGTCACCTCTCGATCTGGAGGGGGAAATGAGATGCTGCTATTAAATGGTGCTGAACAAATTTCATTCCATACACACATTTTCGATGGCGCTTGTTCTCATTAGGGTCGTATGTATACTGGAGCTACATCCTGAACTGGTCACGTACGGATAACCAAGTTGTCATATTCACACCAATGGACAATTTAGGTCCCTAACATCTGCAATTGGCAGACAACTGGTTCAGGGTGTCCCCCGCCTACTGCCCGAAGACAGCTGGGATCGGCTGCAGAACGCCCGCGACCCTTGTAGAAAATGGATGGATATTTCATGATTCATAGTTTTTGTGACATTTTTGTTTGGTGGTGTGTCATGAAACATTTCCAACACTTGTCCACCGTGCTGCCTCTGAGGGTGTTTTAAAAAGCTCATCGAAAAACTTAAATCAAGGCAAATTTTGCTTGGTAATGGCCTGCAAAGATGTTTGTTTTTACCTTTAAGCACTGGTGGGAGTTTTGGAGACTAGGTATATATGTTTACTTTTTTAAAGAAATTTTACCAAGTCATTTTTTCTGTTTTATCTTCAGATAAATTTGCTTTATTTTGATGATATATTCCTCTTGGTTGAATTTTTCTTTTTTGCTGTGTAGCCTTGTCGCTATTAAAAATGTTTTGGGGCTGGGTTGTTGAATGTGGCTGCCAGTCGGTCTGACAAAATCCAAGCGAAATGAGGTACCTCTTGAGTAGTAGCCTGAGGCAGCCTCCTGACGCGTTGATGAGGGCCCGGGCCTGCCAAAGGGGCAATCCCGCACACGGTTTTCCGTTCAGGGACACCACCTCGTCGCCGTCTCGTACGCCGGCCTGGAAAGCATTGCCGCCTTCCTCCAGCTGCAAACGACAACATGTTCAAGTCACATTACTCACCACCTCCCAGAGTCTCTGAATATATTGTTCATCTTCTAAAAATTAAAAATGAAATGTGCAAGTCTTAAAGTGATGCATTTGAAATGGCAGTTATCGCAGTGAAGGATGTTTTTACTCCCTTGTAATTGCTTCCCACAGCCCATAAAACGCCTCATTAATAGGACAACTTAAATAAGCGGAAATGTGCCATAAATCTTACAAGGCTGGAGGGGGCTGTAAGAAATGACTTGGGCAGGAAAGCAGAGTGAATTAAAAACAATGTTGCTTGGTTATATATTCAACATCTATTCTGGCTGTTGGTAACCAATAATAAACAACAATGTCAGAGAGACCATATATTAAAACAGAATAAAATGTATATTATTGTTATGTGCGTGTTTTTTAATTTTTTTTATTAACATTTTTATTGTTTGTTTTTGTTGTTTAAAAATATATCATTTTCTGCCTGTGCAGTGAGGTGCCGTGTAGCTGGAGCCCAATGTTTATCTGGTGCTTGGGTTTGCGGCCAGGCTTTTTGCTCTATGGGTTGACCCCATGCCGGCTGGGATTCAGGCTGAATCCAAGGACCTTGTGATTGGGATTTGGCCAGTGCCCATGTACGTTGAGAGTCTACTTGCGGAGCTTGGCCCCAGGAAGCCTGTGATTGCTGCTGTTGCTGCTGCAGCATCGGTTCTTGTGATCGACCCCAGGTCGGCTGCATTTGCTGGACTTGCGGCTCCGGTGTGTGCGTCCAGTTTTGTTGTGGTTGAGACTGGGGTGGATCTTGGGGTTGACACGGTTGAACGTGTGGCTGCGCTTGCTCTGTTTGACTCCAGGAGGCCTGATTTTGTGGTGTCCAGGTATCGGCAGGGGGCTGAGACTGCACTTGACTGTGAGTGGATTGGGGTGTCGCCCACTGATGTTGTAGAGAGGATTGACTTGGTTGTGGCTCCTGTGGTTGCATCTGCATCGTATAACAGGTAATTGTAGATTGCTGCTGGGCTGCTTGTGCAGAATCCCAAATTCCTCCAGCATTGGTCTCGGGCTGTGGAGAAGAGCTGACATAACCGTTTCCCTCTTGCACGGCTACTTGCTGTTGTTGGGTTTCTGGCACTGAAGGAGGCCATGTTTGTTGTTGCTCTGTGGAGGCAATGGCAGGGGCTTCTAGTTGGGCTTGAGGGGGAGTTGGCCCAGGAGCAGTCACATTAGAGGTTGGCTCTTGGTCACTAAAAGGGGTGGTCACTGCGGTGGGGGCGACAGCAGGTGTGGGTGCACTATTTTCGGCATGCTGAGGCATGTCCTGGTTGGTTACTTCCATCTGTGGAGACCAGGGGGCAGAGCTGTGCTGAGGCATGTCGTGGTTGGTTACTTCCATCTGTGGAGACCAGGGGGCAGAGCTGGGATCTATCACAGGCTTTGGGGCCACCGGCGGAGGAGTCTTGTGTTTCGACCGTGAGGACTGGAGGAAATTACAAGCCTCAGCGCCAAGGCTGAGGTAGTCTTCCTCTTGTTAAAGCCAGTACAGGGGTGGTAAATTTCCCAAGGCCTTTTAGGCCATTGTTTCCCAAACTTCATTGATCCAAGGCACCCAATTTGCACACAACCATCAGACCAAAATATTTAAAAAATATGAAAACTAAAATAATACTCAAAAATGTACTTGACTATTGTAAAATCTTGTCTGTTTAGTTGAATACACTGATTTACTTGCAAGAAGACTGGCGGTTGAGAAAGTGGTATTACTGGTTTTGTGAATGAACCATTTGGATCTCATCCAAGAAAATTACGTGGCAGAAACTACAATGTCATTTCTACAATGTCATTTCTACAGTCCACCTCTGTCTGTAAATATATGTTTCAAAATGTCTGAATGATGTAGCGAAATGTGAATCTAATCAAGGTAACCCACCATATAAAATCAAGATGTTTTAAAGGGAATTGAAATGTAGTTTAGTTGTCTGAGGGGACTCTTCTGCCAACACAGGCCTATGTTACACAATTTAGTTTAATATTTTATGGTGTTCGGTGGGTTCAATACATTGCCAGCAGATTGCGTAATTAATGCGGAATGAATAATTGAGAAGCTTCTAAACCCAAGATGAATAAGTTGATATTTTACTCATGTATTTAAAAAAAGATTATTCCATATGCAGTAGTTCATTTAAAAAAAAAAAAGCGTCATAGCAACTCAGGGTAATATTGTTGTTCCCTCCTTGAAACACAATGAATGAATGAATGAATTGCCTTTATTGTCATTACACGTTTGTGCAACAAGATTTCACTTAACAGACACGCTCTGCACAAGAAACATGAAAACAATGACGAACATGGGATACAGTGCAAAGGGCCTGTCGGTACTCGCTAAGTGCCAATATGTTTTATTTAGGACGGTGGTTCTCATACCTTTTACAACACGTACCACCCCAAAAAATACTTGGCTCTCGAAGTACCTCTATGATGACCGATAATGAAGTACAGTCACATAGTAGGCCCACGTGTTCATAAAAACAAAACAAAACGAACAAACAAAAAACTAAAACTAGCCACTGTAATACCATGCATGGTTTGAATACAGTATTAACGTGTTACATGTTAATATTAGCATAAAATGACAATTCAAATAAAGTGTATTGCATACCAAAGTTAGATGAAAAAACTACTCCTATAAATGTAAATGATATAAAATAAAATGAAAAAATATTTTTCATAAATGACTAATTTCAAACTTAAATGCAACAGAAATGCATTACTGTACATCAAATGTATTGTACTGGATTTTAAAAGCAAATTGAAGTCACTGGAATATTATGCACAGTGAATCTTTTGCGTACGATGACATGGCACCCATAATAAAATTTGAGGATCACTGACAAGACATATTGTGCTGATGGTTTGTTTGCGTGGTCGGCTTGTTGTATGGTGAAAATGGATCCGGTGGAACCTCTAATAAATATTTTCCTCATTAACCACTTAAATGCCTTAAAATTCCAATCGAATGTGGTGTTAAAACCATCATCATGTGGCACATGAGATTTCAGTGAGAATCTAAAAGACACATTCTGTGCCTGTTCCTGCTTTTCTGTGGGGCAGGGGTAGTGGTTTTTTTTTGTCATTCCACTCAGGTATGGTGTCAGTGATGTGAAAGAAAACTGTTATCATAACTATCAACGGAAATGTAATTTACTGCAGCATTTGAAAGACTGCTCAGTGCAATGTGGACAATGCAAACAATTATACAGCGATCATACTCAATACATTGCCTGTAGAGTTAATTTCATTTTTATGATGGCGACAGTTTTAATTGACATATTTTCTAAGTTTTGAAATGAGAACAAGCCGACTGGTTAGCACTCGGAATTGTCTGACGTGTCAGTGTGAGTGTGGCTGAGTGTTTGCCTATTTGTGCCCTGCGATTGCTGGCAAACAGGTCAGGGTGTGTACCCAGACTTTCATGCAAAGACAGCTGGGATTGGGTAAGGTTAACAACAATAAGCAGATCAGAGAATTGATGAGTGGATGAGAGTCTTGCATTTTGGAAAAAAAAAAAATATAGAGCCCAGAGTTGCTGAGAGTATAGTGGGACACATGCCGAACTTGTGTGTGGGCAGCGTGGGATCGGTTCCTACTCAGTGGTGGTGTGAATGTGGGTGTGAATGTTTGTTTGTCTCTATATGTACCCTGCGACTGATTGGCGACCAGTTCAGGGTGTAATCTGCCTTCCGCCCGAAGTCAGCTGCTATAGGCTCCAGCAACTGAGGGCCTGTCCTCCGAGACAAGGTTCTCCTATGGGAGACCTAATAAAAAGTCAAATCAAATCAAATCAAACTCCCCATGACCCTGTTCAGGTTACCGGTGTTTTTGATAATGGATGGATGGCTAGATGTATAGACCACCCCATGATATTTGTGAACAATATAGGCTCTAAGATGATTTTGGCTGTGATTGGCTGGCATCCAGTTCAAGGTCTACTACGCCCACTGCCCGAAGACAGCTGGGATCGGCTGCAGCACGCCCGCGACCCTTGTAGAAAATGGATGGATATTTCATGATTCATAGTTTTTGTGACATTTTTGTTTGGTGGTGTGTCATGAAACATTTCCAACACTTGTCCACCGTGCTGCCTCTGAGGGTGTTTTAAAAAGCTCATCGAAAAACTTAAATCAAGGCAAATTTTGCTTGGCAATGGCCTGCAAAGATGTTTGTTTTTACCTTTAAGCACTGGTGGGAGTTTTGGAGACTAGGTATATATGTTTACTTTTTTAAAGAAATTTTACCAAGTCATTTTTTCTGTTTTATCTTCAGATAAATTTGCTTTATTTTGATGATATATTCCTCTTGGTTTCATTTTTCTTTTTTGCTGTGTAGCCTTGTAGCTATTAAAAATGTTTTGGCGCTGGGTTGTTGAGTGTGGCTGTCAGTCGGTCTGACAAAAACAAAGCGAAATGAGGTACCTCTTGAGTAGTAGCCTGAGGCAGCCTCCTGACGCGTTGATGAGGGCCCGGGCCTGCCAAAGGGGCAATCCCGCACACGGTTTTCCGTTCAGGGACACCACCTCGTCGCCGTCTCGTACGCCGGCCTGGAAAGCATTGCCGCCTTCCTCCAGCTGCAAACGACAACATGTTCAAGTCACATTACTCACCACCTCCCAGAGTCTCTGAATATATTGTTCATCTTCTAAAAATTAAAAATGAAATGTGCAAGTCTTAAAGTGATGCATTTGAAATGGCAGTTATCGCAGTGAAGGATGTTTTTACTCCCTTGTAATTGCTTCCCACAGCCCATAAAACGCCTCATTAATAGGACAACTTAAATAAGCGGAAATGTGCCATAAATCTTACAAGGCTGGAGGGGGCTGTAAGAAATGACTTGGGCAGGAAAGCAGAGTGAATTAAAAACAATGTTGCTTGGTTATATATTCAACATCTATTCTGGCTGTTGGTAACCAATAATAAACAACAATGTCAGAGAGACCATATATTAAAACAGAATAAAATGTATATTATTGTTATGTGCGTGTTTTTTAATTTTTTTTATTAACATTTTTATTGTTTGTTTTTGTTGTTTAAAAATATATCATTTTCTGCCTGTGCAGTGAGGTGCCGTGTGGGGCGAGCAAAATATGCAGTAAATCCTTTGTGCCACTAGATGTCGTTCTTTGACCACAGTAACATTAAGAGGAGGCCTTGAGTTCAACAGGTCAAATTAATTCAGTACAGTTCCGCGCTATACCAACTGTTCGCTCTGCTGTCTTAACCATCACAGGCCCCACAAGAGCAAGTCGTAAAATGAGACAACCCTCTGCAAGAAATTGATTTTATGGGCAACTTTATAGAGCTGATAAAACCCCCTGTGTGCATCCAGGCCCTACAAGGCGTCTTGTGTGCCTTCCATTGCGACTCACCTCCAAAAAAGGAGGGGAAATCTTTATTGTTGGCCCTCTCTTCAAACAGTACAGCCTAAAGTATACCCAGAAACCTACTTTGAATTCATTTCTAGCTCCCGGCAGTGCATGGCCACCGCAGCTTTAAACAATTAAACTTTTGTATTGCAGCAAAACATTTCCCAGCACAGCATTGGTGTTCAAAAACCAGGCCCACCGCTCTGTCTACACTTTATTTTATTAACCATTTGCTCGTAGTCATAATTGCCATTTTGTTGATTGCCCTGGTGCTGAAAAAAAAATTCTCACAGTGTACTATTAGACAAGAGTCTAAGAGAGTGTTTGTGTGATAAACAACAATTGCCTGCCTCCGTTTCCATTTACTTGGCAGTCATTTAAACCCTGTCTCTGTTGCTTTAAAACTAAAGTGACCTCATCAATTTTGTACACAGGTCAGAAGAGGGGAAAACACAAGTTCCCTTATATGGACAGAGCATTTCACAGTGGATCCATCAAGCTCCTAAGATGTAATGCTGTGTGTGCACTGTGTGCATTACGTGTTAGAATGTCGGAATTGGAGTTGAAAGTGTTGCAAAGGAGGTAACGGTCAGGAATGTACAGTGGAAGTTGATGAGAAACATGTTTTGCTTGTTTGTTTTTTTCATATTTCAAAACAACCCAACACCATTTTTTGCGCATGACTCATGAGTTAAAACTTAAGGATGCACACATGAATGTCCTTTTTTTTTTTGCGCTGGCATCCCTGCATAACTGGCATACCTTTCACCCTGTAGCCGACCGTTTTGGTTTGAAGTCTTTGGGAGTGACAACAGATCATCACACACTCTCCTGTCCGTAGTCTTGACCATATAAGGGGGTGCTGAGGAATCTCACGCACCCAAAACGTGGCCCAAAAAGCCACTCTCCCACTACATTGCATTCCACTTTGCAGAATATGATGATGTTCTCAAATAATACGTAAAAAAGGAGAGTTACCTGAGAAACCAGCAGAGGCGTATCGGTGTCCCCCACACCTTCTTCCAGGGTGAAGCCCCAGGGTCCATCACCATGCAAAGTGATGCAGATGTAATCCCCAGTTCCCATGCTGTGTGTGCATACAGCTCCTCATCCGGACCACAGAGCAATCGGTCAGGGAAGCAGGTTTTTAGAAGAACACCCCCACTTGCCCCACTCCCACCATCCTGTACTGTACTCTTCTGAGCTGAGTCCGGCCCGCTAGGTGACATCATCATGGCATCATGGCTCACAGGATGTAGAGAAAGGGGTGTGTGGTTATGGGAATTGCAGACACTTCTTCTGGATATATATATATATATATATATATATATTCTTTATGTATATATATATATATATATATATATATATACACAGAATATATACATTTTTTTTAACTTGAACGTGAACATTGAAGTCAGCCAAAGAACATGTTTTTTGTCATTGAGCTTGAAAAATTCGTTGAACACAGCCACATGCACGATATTAAAGTCCTTCAGAGTGAATGGCTCCTTGCTCATGGCTCTTAGCTTCAAATGCCTGTTTTACCTTCCTTTACAGAAAATTCTCGATGAAACTGAAGGACAAAACAGAACGCATTAGTTTATCATGAAACTTCAACGTGTTTTTGTGTTTACTGCGTTGACGTCACACGTATGGGATCTCTGTGGATGTGCGCAAGCGCACTCGTTATTGTCAAGTTCACAGAAAACGACCGAGGCAAGCTTCCACGTGACGCTGACAGAGTCAATGAAAATTATTTTCTTCACCAGTAAATTTAGATAGAGACACGCAATGTAAGAACACATATTGTTGGTCATTTTTCTTCTATTTCTTTGCCAAATATCTATCGTGTTATTTTGTTTTTGTGTGTCTGTTCAACGCCGACTTGCTGTTATTTTGAAACCGGAAGTGGATTGTTCTCGCTCCCCACCTCACTGGGCTGGTCCAGCCTGACGTCACGTAGACCGCCCGGCGCTTTTGGAGTTTGACGTGGCACTCGGCATTCCGCTAAGCAACCAGACGAGGCCAACTGAAGCCCATCTTACAGGTAAATCGAAGCAACGCCACCTTTACACGCGTGGCCAGCACGTAGGCCCGACATCGCACGCGTGACGGAGCGAGTTTTGTTCGTGTCACAAACGAGCGCGCGTTGCTTTTTCATGGCAAACTTTACGCTCAAAGGGGCGCAAAACAGCTAGCAGGATGCGCTCTATGAAAAAAACAAAACTAAACAATGTCATTGAAATTGAATAAATAAACACATCTATCTAATTGTGTCATTGGAGAGGAAAGCGTGAAGCTTCATTTTTTGCGAGTGAGGAATAATTTGGAACGGTAGTGTTTGACGTGGCATGTGTCCGTCCGTCTGTGTGTGGATGAACCTAAAGGGCGTTTAGCAACAAGGACCGCACTCCTTCGCTTTTTCATGTAACTGTCATGCGTTTTGGTTTCTGTTTTGGGGGGGCATCGAGGGCTGTCAGTCAGCGGGTGCTTTTATCGAGTTGCGCTGCACTCCCTGGCCACTTCATTAGGCACAGCTTCAGCCTGCGATCCACTTACACTGTCTGTGGTCAAACATTCAGTCTAGGCAGAGACGACCCCGACTTTGGGGCCCATCATCCTGATTGTCGATCGATTGTTGATTCATTGTTGAATTTTCTTTCGTAAAGAGCTAACTGTGTTGTATACAGAGTGATTCCACTTACTCCGGATATCATGAAAAAAAACAAGAAGAGGAAGAATGACGTGTAACAACAAATACAATCACGCAGGTATAAACAAAGATGTACCGACAAAAAAAAAAAGCAAGCAACGAGAACAAACAACTGCTTCAATCTTACTGTAACTGAGCAGAGGAAGTTGAAACAAAAATAAAAGTGAACAAAAAGATGGACAAAGCTCAATGATAATACTAAAAAAAAGAACGACAATAATAACAATAATAAGAAGAATAATAAAAATACGACCCTTGTGAGGATAAAGCGGATCGGAAAATGAATGAATGAATAAAATTCAAAAATACGAATTTAATTCAAACATTTTTGTGACTACTATACGACACTTTGATCCTCTCCTCGTTCATCTATAACTGCTTCAAACAACAAATAGGATGCAGAAGATTGTATAACTGACTGTCTTTGTCTTATGTGTTGTGTTGTATTATTTTGTTATTATGTTATTATGACTTCAAGATGGCGCCGCCAGAGTGGCTGCCTTTACAGCAGCTCCTATACAGTATTTTGTTCTACTACTTTCTTCCTTTCACAACTTTACTGCTGTAAATTGGAAATTTCTCCATTGTGAGACGATTAAAAGTTTTTCTGATTACTGCTTCTGATTACTGCTACTTAATGACTACTCCAAACACTGCTTTTCGTGGCCCCTAGTGGTCGCAGGATCCTGAATCGGTTTATGCCTTAAATCCAATGTATACAATTCTGAACGGACCAACGTATTTGTTGTTATTGTGCATTTCTACAAAACGGGTGTGTTTCTATTGTGTAACTCCTTTCAACGTTAAAAAACAAAAGAAAAAAGAAAAGGAAAGATCATTTTCTTGGAGACGCACCGCCCGCCCTTTTTATCTCCAAACGAGAAATCTCAAAGGTTGCACATGCATGCACGTGTAAAGAAGCAGATATTGTTGTTGTTGACAAAATGGATATGAACTCATTGGTAATAGACTTTAACCCTTTTACTGCCTTCTCTGTAATTGTGGAGCACATAAAGAAAGCAAACAATCAGCTTTAAGGGCTATATGTGCCACCTGAACTGTTTGAACTAAACTTTATCTACAGAGCACTTTAAGTAATGATTTAACATTTTGAGCATTTTGTTATTTTGGATTTCGAATGAAGGTGCGCTGTTGCACCCTATAAAAAAAAGCAAAAAAAAAGATGGAAATAGGCACTCTGGTACCATTTCATATTTTCAGCAATATTTTCATGTCGTGAAAAAAACAGAACCGAGTGACACATGTCATATTTTAAAGACAATTGATTCTTGTTGGAACTGTGCTCTTACGTCCTCGCAGACTGTAGGAGACCAATTGTTGGCATGAGAAGAGCGTTGAAATGAGTCAGCAGGGTTATGTTGCCACACCCCCGTATTCCCAGGCCCAGCCGGGCTTGGGGGGCTACCAAGGTGGATTCGGCTCCGCTCCTGCGCAGCCCCACTACGGACACTATGGAGGAGCGCCGCAGGCGTTTGCGGCGCCTCCCACGGGTGAGCAAATCTCGTGTGTAGCAGATCAAAGCAGAGATGGCAAAAATACCCACTTTCTGTCCTTAAGTTAAAAAAAAAAAGTACAGGTACATGGAAAAAATACTTTTAAAGAAGCCTGTGTACTTGAGACTGGACTTCCTGTGTGTACTTAGCTGTGCTGAAACCGCCGGCGTCCTCGGGCCCTGGTCTGCCTCCACATCCCGGGTCCGGTCCGTACAATCCAAACAGCCAGCAGAACGGGGCTCATATGCAAAGGTCTGCACGTTTCCTTTGTGAAGAAATTGGAAATTGTGACTCCTTTCACATCGTAGTGACCCCCCCCCCCTTTTTTTTTTAAATAATTTTAAATCAACATGGTCAGGTATCCCCCAGCCACTTACGGTCAACCTCCACAGCCGTCATACAACAGCATGGCCTCTCCAGCACCGCCTCCACCAGTGCAGCTCACCAATCAGATGGGCGCCATGAACTTAGGCAACTATGGTAGGTGGTCCTCAACATTTCATCATTTTGCCTCAGGAGTGAATTAACGTGGCGCCGCATTCTTCTTCCAGGGCCCGTTCAGAGTGTCCCATCTGCAACGAGCCCCGTTGCCCAGCAGCCTTTCCGGGGACCCCCGCCTCCAGCTACGGCGCAGCCCCCCATGCAACCTCAGATGGCCCCGGCGCAGCCTCCCATGCAACATCAGATGGCCCCACCGACGAGCATGTCCATGGGTCGACCCTTCCCCGGACCGCCGCCTCCTGCAGCTCCCGGAGGGTTCCATCAGCCTGGACTTGGGCCTGCTGGTCCACCTGGATACCCGCAACAAGCAGGTACACAAATGGTAACCCTTTCCGATTGCCAGTTACTGTTGAATGAAAACGACATCACAGCGCCAAAGGGCTCAGGTAATGACCGTCCGTCATGGCTGACCTGTTTTCAGGGTTTGGTCATGCGACGTCGGCAAGCTGAGCGCTTCGGCACTGTGATGTCATTTTCAGTAAACAGCAAGTGGCAAAATGGCTACCCCCTGAGATGGGAAAAAAATCGGGTGGATTTTTCTGTTTCTAGTGAAGTATAAGGACAATATTTGAATGGTTTGAATCATTTAAGAAATGTGAAAGAAAGGAGGAGGTCAATCTGTAAAACGTCTGCGTTGATTTGGGAATCTTGTGGGGAACTGAAAAAAATGTGGGAATTTTTTGAATGTGAAATAATGCTTCCGGGCGGCCTAACCCTTTCCGATTGCCAGTTACTGTTGAATGAAAATGACATCACAGCGCCTAAGGGTTCAATTCCAGCTCCGGCCTCCCTGTGAGGAGTTTGCATGTTCTCCCCAGGCCTGCGTGGGTTTTCTCCGGGTACTCCGGTCTCCTCTCAGGACAAAACAAATGCCGTCTTGAGAATTTTAGTGCAGGATAACCTACGTCACGCTTTGTGAGCAGGTCCGTTTACGGGAGGCCACATGGCAGGACCTCAGCCAGGGGGCTTCCCAGGAGGACTTGGCCCACAAGCTGGTCCGCCCCAGAAGAAACTGGATCTGGACTCCATCCCCGGCACCGTGAGCGAACTATCCTTGCACCAATCGCGGAGCGGTCGTGGCTGTGAGTCAAATCAATCGATTACTTGTTTGATTTCAGACCCAAGTGATTGAGGACGACCAAGCCAGACACGGAGGGCAAGTCTACAGCACCAACATCCGAGGACAAGTCCCACCTCTGGTAACCACCAACTTCACGGTGCAAGACCAAGGTATTACCCCCTTTCCCTCCCGCCTGGAAGAAACGTGATCCTGTTCTCATCCTCACTTTTGATTCGACCCACTTTAGGCCACGCCAGTCCCAGGTTCATCCGTTGCACCACCTACTCCTTACCGTGTACTGCCGAGCTGGCCAAACAGTGCCAGGTGCCCCTGGCATGCATTGTCAAACCCTTTGCTCGTTTGCCCAACAATGAGGTAGGTGTCATGTCACATACACTCATAAAAATGTTGCATTTAAGACCCGAGGCACATTCCTAACCGTGATGTGTTGTGCATGTTTGTGGTTCGCCGTTTATACATCCACCTATTTGTCTTTATTTGTGAAATATCCTAAGATGAGCTGTATTAAGAGGAAAGTAGCACCGTTTGGATGTCAAGGATGTTGACGTGCTTCATCTTGAGTGAGCGAGGAGCTTTGTATGTCAGGGAGGCGCCAAGTTAAGCTGCTGTTGTTAGTTGTTTGTGGAGTCTTTGCCAAATGTGCATGTCAGGCACAAACAATTTATTTTGAATTGTAGTGATGTAAGATGAGTTTAAAATGATCGTAAGTTGTTTTAGGATCATAATGTAGTGATATATTTACATTTTGTAAACTATTAAGATGGGCAATTAGAACAATTTTTAGTGGCACGTAAAATACAACACATTTTTCCAAATTTTTTTAAGTCAGAGAATAAAAATGTTTATCGATTACATTTTTTTTACGCTGATTCATAATAATAATAATAATAATGATAAAATACAATAATAACCGCACTACAGTCATTTATTATATTTAGGAATCAAGTGTTTGGTTTAGCAACAGGTGTAAATTTTTTTTCTGAAAAGTCATAGCGATAGAATACAATGCAAGTAAAAAAAAAAATCATCATCGCACGATCCTTTTGTGGGTCAAACTTGAAAAAATTGAAAATACCCCAAAACGCTGATGTGTTCGAAAAAAGTTATTAAAAAAAAATCTGTGTCAAAAATACGTTTAGGGACGACTCTACTACATAGTTAAATGACTACTGGGATAAAGCTCTTGTGTTGTTTCTTATTTGACATTGGAACCTCTTTTTGGATCCTGTGTGGTCAAAATGTTCTGGAGTAAACTGACCCCACACAAAGCCCCCCCCCCACCTCCTCCGTGTCCCTGTCGAGCTGGCCTTATTCCATAAGCCTTTTTAGGAAATGTTAGTGCGACCGCAAGAGATGAAACTGACATACAGAGTGCGTCACCTGCTTTATCGCCAGACTCCGTTGTACCTGGTGAACCATGGCGAAAGCGGTCCCATCCGCTGCAACCGCTGCAAGGCCTACATGTGTCCGTACATGCAGTTCATCGACGGCGGCCGCCGCTACCAGTGCGCTTTCTGCAGCTGCATCAATGAAGGTGCCACAATTTTTAAAAAAAAGGAAAAAAAAGGCAAAACAATAAGTGTTGTTTAGACGGATTCAAACCGATTCTGTGGCTCTCTCCAGTGCCCGTCTTCTACTTCCAACATCTGGATCACATGGGCCGGCGGGTGGACTTTTACGAGCGAGCCGAGCTGTCGCTGGGATCTTACGAGATGGTCGCCACGCTGGACTACTGCAAGGTATTTCAAACGTCGAGGACGATGACGAGCGGAGCGGACATCCTGTGACGCGTACACACGTTCCTGGCCCTCCACAGAACAACAAGCCTCCAAAACCGCCCGCCTACATCTTCATGATCGACGTGTCCTACAACAACATCAAGAGCGGGCTGGTCAGGCTCATTTGTGACGAGTTGAAGACGCTCCTGGACAAGCTGCCCAGGTAAAGACTGGCGACGACACCAAAAAAAAAAAGTTCTTTCCCAACCTGCCCACTAGATGGCACTATTCCGCTCTAATGCTACGTGCACATGTTCATGATTTCAAAAGGCGTTTTGATCATTTAAATACCCAAGGATTACTCATTTAATGAAGCTCGACAGACGCTGCAGAGTTAGGTCGTTGCGACTATGCGAGCAGGTTAGACTTGCGGAAGCAAAAGTCGAATGTATGGGGAAGAAAAAAAAAACAAAACACCCTTAAAGAGAAATGCATTTTCACTTAGGGAGGCAGCGTTTCATACACTTATTGGACTTGAGGAGGACTCTGAAAAGTCCGACATAAATCAAACCTATTGATTTACTTTCCGCTCTAGGGAGGACGGTGCTGAGAGCTCAGCCATTCAGGTCGGCTTTGCCACTTACAACAAGACACTCCACTTCTACAACGTCAAGAGCTCCCTGTCGCAGCCGCAGATGATGGTGGTGTCCGACATGACCGAGATGTACGTGCCGCTTCCCGACGGCTTTCTGGTCAACTTCCAGGAGTCCAGGGCGCTCGTCTGCAAGTGAGGAAGACCTCGACTCGTACTTATATTCAAGCCGTAAGAATTCATAAAAGACAAAACTTTGGGATGAACGGCAGATTTGCTTTGTGCACCTCGCAGCCTCCTGAGCCAGATCCCCGACATGTTTACGGACACCAACGAGAGCGAAACAGTCTTTGCTCCCATCATCCAAGCTGGTGTGGAGGCGTTCAAGGTCAGTTTTTTTTTTAAAGGGGTAAGAAATTCTTGGAGCAGCTGTGGAACATCTTTCTAAATTGGATGCGGCGGGGACACTCGGTCCATTTTCTTCGCGACAGGAAGCGGACTGCAGCGGCAAGCTGTTTGTCTTCCACTCGTCCATGCCCACTGCCGAGGCTCCTGGCAAGCTGAAGAACAGGGACGACAAAAAGCTGGTGAACACAGACAAAGAGAAGACGCTGTTCCAGCCGCTGAAGGGCACGTACGAGCAACTCTCCAAGGACTGTGTGGCTCAGGGCTGCTGCGTGGACCTCTTCCTTTTCCCCAACCAGTACGTAGACGTGGCCACCATGGCCGACGTGCCGTCGCACACGGGAGGCTCGGTCTTCAAGTACAACAACTTCCAGGTGAGCTTCCTATATTCTCTTACAATCCGCGAGCCTGCCACCCGGCTGCTTTTGTTAACTGCGATGTCGCAGGTGGACACGGACGGAGAGCACTTCCTGCGAGACCTGAGGAAGGAAGTGCAGAAGAGCATTGGGTTTGACGCCGTCATGCGAGTTCGTACCAGTACAGGTCAGATATGACTTTGACGGTGAGAGAGAGAGAGAGAAAGAGATCAGATGCAGGGAATTTTGAAAGGTGGAGGCACAGTCTGGAAAGTCAAGGAATGAACATTAGGCGAACTAAGGGAATACCGTATTGGCCCGAATATAAGACGGTGTTTTTTGCATTGAAATAAGACTGAAAAAGTAGGGGTCGTCTTATATTCGGGGTCAAGACGTTATACCCATTCGCGACGCTAGATGGCGCCAGATATCATTGAAGTGAATGCTGAACTTAACTCCCCAGGCCAAAGTGAACCCGTGTCACGAATAATAAAAATAAAAATAGCGGTAGCACAAAGAAGAAAAATAAAAAATAGCGGTAAGAAAGAAAAGAGAAGAAAATAATAGAAGAGATAACAGAAAATGGAGAAACGTAGCGACAATCTGGAGAAAGGTGGGTAATTAATATTTTTAATATTTTATAATAAATATTAATAATAAATAATATTAACCGGCAGCTGAGGAGAAGTTATAATGCAATTTACATTTCAAAAACCAGAAGCCATTCATTTACGAATGTGATTGCACTTTACATTTGAATGAGGCAAAATAACATGCTTTTTCTCTCAAATATATTGTTATAATCATTTGTTTCAGATGTACTGTAATTATTTTCTGTATAAAAATTAATTTGGTGTTCAAAAAGACTTTTTTCAAACTTGAGTCTTGAAAAAGATGCGGTCATCTTATAATCAGGGCCGTCTTATATTTGGGCCAATACTGTACAAATGCATAAATGAGGGAAGAGTGAAGCTATAGCAAGGGTGGAGGAATTTTAACACTCCGGGTCAACAGTTCCGAGCAATGGTATGCATGGAAAGAGGGGATGAAAGTGATCCAATGTTTATTTCTTTCCGTGTTTTAAAAAATATTTGTACATTATAAAACAGCATTTTGTCTCTTCCGAAAACAATGTCTTCAGGTTTCCGAGCCACCGACTTCTTCGGCGCCATCCACATGAACAACACCACCGACGTGGAGATGGCGGCGGTGGACTGCGACAAGGTGGTGACGGTGGAGTTCAAGCACGACGACGCGCTCAGCGAGGAGACGGGCGCGTTCATCCAGGTGCGTGCCCCGGACCGCTCCGCGCGGCCCGCCGCCATTCGGTGACCCACACGCAAACCAAACGGTTCCCCGCAGTGCGCCTTGCTGTACACCACGGTGGGCGGGCAGCGGCGTCTGCGCATCCTCAACATCGGACTCAACTGCAGCACGCACTTGTCCGAGCTCTACAAGAGCTGCGAGACCGACGCGCTCATTAACTTCTTTGCCAAATCCGGTGAGTTGGACGGCCCGTCGAACACCAGCTTTGGAGTTTTGCAGCTTGAGCATTTATGTCACGTCCTGGATGTCCATCTTAAGGTCCACGTTCTTTGCCCTCGCTCTCCAGACACTTCAGCGGACAAGTAGAACAAATGTGTCTTACAACTACTGTATGAAAATTCTGAACACTACATGTCACGAGTCGAGTAAAAAAAAAAAAAAAAAACGTGACTAGTAAAGCAGTCGTTCTACTCGTGGGCTGTCTTGTCTAACGCGGGAGGACAAAGAGCGTACACGGAGCAGAAGTTGGATATCAAGAATATGGAATAAATGTGCAAAGGACTTTCAATCCGAGGCCGCTCCCTCGCGCTGTTCCTCTTGTGATCTTGTGTGGCGTCCACGCAGCCTACCGCGCCATCCTCAACCAGCCCTTGAAGAACGTGCGGGACATTCTGGTCAACCAGACGGCCCACATGCTGGCCTGCTACAGGAAGAACTGCGCCAGCGCTTCGGTCGCCAGCCAGGTGAGCTTGCGGACGCTTTCGGCCAGGGCTTCCCATGCTTGACACTTTCTTCCAAGGACCCCCTCTTAATGCTGAGGCCAATTTCACATCACGACTCTCTAAAATGTTAATTCCATGACCAAAGCCAAGATAGAGGGGAGTATTTGTTTTATTTGCATGCTTGTCCCATGCATGCTGTTGGTAGGCTTTTTTAAAAAAAGATATGATGTAATTTACTGAGCGGTGCCAAAATTTATTGATTAATCGAGACCTACTAACCAAATAAGACATTTTCAAACCGCTGCTTTTACTTTGGAAAACAATGACTGAACTGGCAACTCAGTCACTGAAAGCCGGTGCGTACCACATCGAAACCTCTTGTGCTTAAAATCACCAAACGGTACCAAATAAAAACTATAACTGGTTAAGAAACACCAAGCAGGAAAAAAAATATTGCAGTTTAAAGTAAACTTTGATCAGATTAATCGATAGATCATAAATTTTTTTGATCGTGACATCTCTAAATGGACTGCAAATTATTTTGCGGCTACGGTTTGTCGACCTTGGGGGTGCCGGTACTCCAGTTTGAGAACCGCTTGGCCAGGTCATTCATTCACACACACACACACACACACACACACACACACACACACACACACGTGACATACAGTAATTCATTTAACAGATGAATAATCAACCACAAGATGGTGGCAAAGCACTAATATGTTCGATTAGACAAGGCTATGGCCTGACTAAATGAAGCTCTTGCTTCGCACCAAGGTGCCAAAATCAATACAACAAATACAGGAAGACAAGACTCTTGATAATATCGCGTAATGCTGCCACTGCAACAGCCACTAGCATTAAATCTCTCTCACTCTCCAACGTCTGTAAAATGTGTATAAAACTGTAAAAAATAATTTCACAGAAAGAGCAGCCTTCAAAGTTTGGTGTCACACACACTGCACTCATACCGTCAAAGAGCCGCGCGCCCACGTCATTCACACACACACACACACACACACACACACACACACACACACACACACACACACACACACACACACACACACACGTGACATACAGTAATTCATTTAACAGATGAATAATCAACCACAAGATGGTGGCAAAGCACTAATATGTTCGATTAGACAAGGCTATGGCCTGACTAAATGAAGCTCTTGCTTCGCACCAAGGTGCCAAAATCAATACAACAAATACAGGAAGACAAGACTCTTGATAATATCGCGTAATGCTGCCCATGATGTAAGCGCTTACTTACGTGAGAGAGCTGACATGTTTTCTGGAACGTACCATGAATAGCACTAATGAAGCAATGTGACGTGAGGTTTTCTCTGTATTGCTTGTAGCTGATCCTGCCGGACGCCATGAAAGTGTTCCCGGTCTACATGAACAGCCTGATGAAAACGGCTCCCCTGACCGGCAGCACGGAGCTCGCGACGGACGAGCGCGCCCATCAGAGGCTCGCCGTCATGGCCATGGCGGTGGAGGACACCCAGCTGCTGCTCTACCCGCGCCTCATCCCACTGGTACGGACCTTTCCTTCCCTGCCCCCCGCAACAAGCGGAATGCAGACCAGAAAAGGACAAATCAAGTTTTTGTTTCTTTCTAGCACAACATGGATGTCGGCAGCGAGGTCTCGCCTATCCCGGTTCGCTGCTCCGAGGAACGGCTGGCAGACGGCGGCGTGTTCCTGCTGGAGAACGGCCAGGCCTTGTTTCTGTGGCTGGGCCAGGCTAGCCCCCCCGACGTGATCCAGGGTCTCTTCAATGTGCCCTCGCTCGCCCACTTGCAAGCCCACATGGTTTGTGAAAGAGCAAGCATGTTCTCGGGTCACTTTGACCCAGCGTAGATGAAACCAACTTGTTGTTTATGGGTCAATATGACCTGTTGTACATTTCATTTCATCTCATCAGAAAAAAAAAGTAAATTAATTGATTTTTATCTTCATAATTGAAAAGGGAAAAAAACAAGGCCAGCAGAAGAAGCTGAATCCTGATTGTTTTTTTTTCATATGGATCAGTTTGACCTGCCATTATCCCAAACTGTCAGAAACACAATGATTACCCTTAGACTATTAAAAAAAAAAAAAGAAAAAGCAAATTAGCCAAACGCTGATTTTTTTTTTTTTTTTTAAAGATTTTTCGACATGTCAATGGAACGTCCAACATAACAGCAGAGATAATTATCCCAAATTGCCAGAAACACAATGCAGATTGTATAATATAAATCAGTTATTAAAAAGAAAAGAAAAATAAGCCCAGGAAATTTTTAACTTACCAGTTTCTTTCTTTCCCTTTCCTTATCAGTGCGTGCTGCCAGAGTTGGACAACCCGCTGTCCAAGAAGGTCCGATCTATCATTAATGACCTTTTGGAAAAGAGGCCCAGATCTATGAAGGTAAGAGACTCTCGTGAAACTACTCATCATTACATCAGTGCACAGGCACAAACCACTTCAAAACCCTCCATTTCTTTTTTTTTTTTTTTTTTTAAATTCACGTTTGTTTCTGTTGCAGCTTCACATTGTGAAGCAAAAGGACAAGCCCGAGATGATGTTCCGCCAATTCCTGGTGGAGGACAAGGGCTTGCACGGCGGCACCTCCTACCTGGACTTCCTTTGCCACGTTCACCGGGAGATCAGACAACTGCTCACCTAAAAAAGAACAAAAAAATATCCCCTCTCCAGAAACTCAAAGGGACTTTTTCCACATGTCGGGACCAAACACGGACAGCAGAAAGAGTTAACTTGAACCTTGCAAAGTGCCAAAGTTGCCTTCCATGCCCCCTCCCACATTCCTGCCTGTTGATCGACTCCAGACAAACAAGGCGCCATGCTGCAGAATTTGGCATGAAACTCGTATTATTGTACTTTTGAAGCAAATTTCAGTTACTTTTACGTCAATCCAGAATGATGCTGAAACAAGGAACATTTTTTTTCCTCAAAGGGAAGTTTTCATTTCATTGTCTGTAAAACTGTCCACGTCAACATGTGTAATTCAATATTGTCCTTTTGTGCTGCCTTCAAATGTCTTTTTTTTTTGTGTACAAGATAAATGCAACTTTTACCGTCTGCCTTTAGTTGAAATCTTACAGCCTATTTGGTTTGAAATTAAACATAACCTCAGGTCATCTGAGTATCTTTTGGAAAATAGAAAGCAATAATACAAAGTTGGGAGGAAAAAAAAGTGATACATTCTTGAGTAAAGAGAATGCCACTAGGGGGCAGCACAGCACACAAAAAAATGCCATGAATACGGTCCAATAAATTTGCCCAAATTCTAACGTGAAACATTCTTCGGGAATGAATGAATATCGGAGAAATAGATGTTCATCGGTTTATTTTCACCTTGTGGTATTTACAGAAAATGTAGAAATGCATCATGATGACTTGGGAGTGACATGTCAGGATTTGTTTTCCTTACCTAACATGGAGATAATAAAAAGCAAAAGCTCACGCCTCTGTCGGAGATACATAAACAACAATAAGCGTCATATTAAGGAAGTCAAATGAAACGTAGTTACATAGCTTTGAAAACAACTAAAATTCACGTTTGTCGTCTTGAAAACTGCGCAATACAAATGAGCCAATACAAATGAGCGTAATGCGTTGTATAAATAACATAAAACGACAACAACAAAAAAAAACAGTGCTGAAAAATGCAAACGTAAACTAAGTCCACAAATAGAGTGTGTCATTGTTATTTAATGTTCTATACGTACATTTAATATCAACTACTGGTCTGCTTGTGTGGACTAAGCCATTCGTGGTCTTTTTCCAGCATTCCTTTTCTATACTTGACTGTCTTGAGTGTATATATCGGTGATTCTCAAAACGTATCGTCGAAAACATTTGTCGAGTACATTTATTAACCCTTTCAGGCGCCCTGCAACCTGATTAACATTGTAAGCTAGGGGTGCTCAAACTTTTTGGACCGAAGATCAACCCGTTACCGCGCGTGCACATACACACGCACGCCATCGTAGCTCACAGGTACCGTTTTAAAGGGCTTCCCTCGGCCCTCTCGATTCCTATTCTTTGCCCGTGCCCTCGGTGAACTGTACACGAAAGAAACTCTGAATGAGAATAATGACAACAATAAAAGATACAGCGCAACAGCTCTGATCACAAGCTGCAATTGCAGACTGCTGAGCGCTAACAACTTCCGGTGACGCTGGTCACGCGCCACCGTAGGTTGAAGATTTACCTGCTTTATTTTATTTTTTTAATACTTTTTGTGAAAATGAGACTGATAGGATGATTAGGCTGCAGTGCACATTAACACAAAAAATATATTACTAACATGCACAAAGTCACAAAAATGGTTGTTTGCTTTTTTTTCTCCTCTACACAACTGCCGATCGACTTGGGACCAGTCCGCGATCTACCGGTTGATCGCGATCGGCGTAATGGGCACCCCTGTAATAAGCTGTCCACTGTAGTAACCGCTGTCCCTCAAAGGGTTAAGTGCAGTTCACGTTTTGGTCAATCACTCTCTGGGTAAAATTGAAGTTATTGTGTTTGAATAACGGCCATGAAGGTGGTATTTTAAAAGCCAATTTTTTTTTTTTTTAAGTTTGAAGAACCACTACTATATACACTCGAAAACAAAACACGAGCCATTAAGGAACACCCTGGAAATAACAATAACAGGGTGGAATGTGGATGGAAGGGAACGTCAGAGTGACAGTGACATCACCTGGCAGGAAAACAACGGCTACACGGTCAACGTAAACATTTCCAGAGTGTTCCCAGCCAGGAAGGACACACGCCATGAACGGAGGTTTGCGTGTTCGACAAGCATTCTCCCCCTCCGGGGCTGTAAAGTTAAAGGACGTTTTCAAAGAGGTGCATGGAGCGCATGATGTTTTCGTCCTGGCGACAAAACAAAAACACGGCAGTTCAGACATCACGAGCGTGCCAAAATGTCGCGAGGTCACAAAGGCCGGCGGGCCACTTACATTTTGGCAGCAGTCGATGAACTCGTCGATGGTCACCACGCCATCTTTGTTCTTATCCATCTTCTGTTGGGGGAGGGAAGGGCAGCATCACGACATTGTTTCCCACTGCTCCACACTTCTTTATACTCCCAAAATAAAGCCTTTTCCCCCGAACATTATTGAAGATTTTGATTCATAAGACCGCGACATCCACAGTCCTCTCCAAAAGTTTTGTTTTATATCCATTCCACACCGCAAGATGCAAAGCACTCATCAGCAAAAACAACAACAACAAAAAAAAACAGAAGGCCAGATTGGATTTTGCAAACAAGTACAGAGATGAGCCACCAATGTTTTTGGAGCAAAGTTTTATGGACTGATGGGACCAAGATGAACCTCGACCAAAGGGACGAAAGGCCCAAGTATGGAGAAAGAAAGGATCTGCTTCTGATCCAAAAAACACATAAGCTCATCTTTGAAACATGGCGGAGGTATAATGTCACAGCTTGGGCTTGCGTAGCTACTTGTGGAACATACTCGCTTGTCTTTATTGATGATGTGACTCATGATGGTCACAGCAGAATCAGTTTTGGGAGTCTACAAAACCATTTTGTCTGGCAATTTGCAGTAAAAAAAAAAAAATCAAAACAAATTGGGTGAAACTTCTGAATGCAACACGACAATGTCCCAAAACACAACAAAAGATTTCATCAGTGGCTAAAATGGAAGGTCTTAGACTGGCAATGTCACTCAGCGGACCTTAACGCATAAGAGCATACATTTCGCCTCCTGAAGAAGAGACTCAAGGGAGAAACCCGCAAAAACAAACAAGAACTAAGTGAGGCTGCAGTAAAGGCCTGGAAAAGCATTTCAAATGGAGAACGCAACAGTCTGGTGAAGTGAATGGAGCGAAGGCTTGATGCTCTTATTGCAAGCAAGGGTTATGCCAGCCCCCACCCCCCCAAAAAAATGTTATTGATACTTAAGCTAATTTAATGTCTCTTCCGATAATTATGCTCACTTAAAAAGTGGGTGGCTTCAAACAAAAAAGGTGCTCTGTCCTGAGCTGTTCAACACATCGAGATGGAAACAACATAAACCATTTGGAGGGGACTGCAGATTCCAATTGCTCCAGAGTCCTTTATATCAGAGGTCCCCAACCCCCGGGCGGCGGACCGGTACCGGTCCGTGAGTCATTTGGTACCGGACACGCACAGAAAGAATACATAACTTATAATACTTCCATTTTATTCATTTTGGAATATGAAAGATGTTTTATTTTGAAAAATTACCGGATTCTCTGTTCCATCCGTCGACAGTATGTCACCCTTGACGCAGGTGAAGGCGCGTTTCTCAGTCACGTGACAGGTTACCGCTAAAATGAAACCCAGGAGCTACCAAAATGAGTCAAAAACAAAGGTCTTTGGAAAGTTTCTTTGGGGAAGGGGGAAAGACCCAGCCTCCTGGACTTTCAAGAAAAAGAAGGCTACATTTAATAGACAGTGTCAGGAGTCCTACTTTCCCACGCACCAAGCCCAGTTTGCATAATATGCGGCGACGGTGAGCCGTATTTTTCATGCACTTTGTATTTGCGGTCTATCTTATTTTGAAGGCACGTGTAAACATTACCATAGCGACCAGAGAGTGTTGCGGCCAGATAGGACGTTCCTTGTGTCGTGATTCGTGTTTATATTATGTTTCAAAAATACCACAGTTTTCATGCCGGTCATATCATATTATTTTGTTGTATTTATCCGGTCTAGAAAGGCCGGTCCCTGAAAATATTGTCTGACATTAAACTGGTCCGTGAGGCAAAAAAGGTTGAGGACCCCTGCTTTATATGAACAAGTATTTTCCCCATAACTCTTGAGCAGGGTAAAAATCTTTCTCTTTTTTTTTTTTTTTTTTTTTTTTTTAAGACACCTTTATGGTTTTCTCTCATCACTCTCAAAGAGTGAAAGATCCGGAACTTGCCTGAAAGAATACTTCCACATGCTGGCGCGGAGTCTCCTCTTTGAGCACGGGATACGTGCACTTGCCCATCATGTCGTAGATGGCCTTCATGATGTCGAGCATCTCCTGCGGGACAACAGCGTCAGCGTATGACAATCATCCAGAAAAAACTCTGTTTTGTTTCAAGGAGGGCGGCTGCGCTGGACCTCTTTGGTGATGTAACCGTCTTTATTGATGTCGTAGAGGTTGAAAGCCCACTTGAGTTTCTCTTGAATGGTGCCCCGCAGTAGGATGGAAAGACCCATCACAAAGTCCTCAAAGCTCACGGAGCCGTTGTGATCCGTGTCAAAGGCGTTGAACAGGAAGTGAGCGTACGTCGACGCGTCTGTGAGAAAGAAAGAGAGAGCGAGAGCCACGCCGCAGAAGAGCGGAGGATTCAGCGGTGGCCCGCGGCCGACTTTGGACGCACGCAAAACGAGAAAGCACAAACCTCCTTGCGGGAAGAACTGGGCGTAAATGTCTTTGAAGGTTTCCTCGTTGACGATGCCACTCGGACATTCCTATGAGAAAAGACCATGTTATTAAAAAAAAAAAAAAAAAAAAAAAAAAGTCCCCGTTAGATCAAGTGTGTGCCTTTAAGAGGTGGGGCCTGAGGGAGGTGTCATGTGAAGTCGGCGAGTCTGCGTGTGAACGTCTGGGTGTGAGCTGCGGCCAACAGCTGCTTCCTGGTTCCCCGGGGAACAGCCGAATAGTGCATCGTGACTATGGCCCGCCTTTCCCCCCATGTGAGGGCATTACAATGGATAAACACAGTGGTATGGTATCTTGATATATGAGTAGAATTTGTTCCTTGACCATGCTCATAACTTAAATAAAATTGCCCCATTGAATTCATAGAAATGCCATTGACCTGTTCTAGTTATTTTTAATAATATATTGGGAAATAAAAAAAACACGGCTGATAAGATAAAACACATTGTGAAGAAATACTGCTGTTCCTCAATTCCTACTTTCTTTCCCAGGTCACTTTCACTGAACTTAGAATTGACTTTTTTTAATGCTCATTTTACAACAGTTTCATTATTTTCTGCAGCTTTTCCATCTTTCATCGAAAGCGGTCCAAAGCTAAGAAATATTTGATCATTCCTGGCCAGCATTATTGCCATCATTGACTCCTATCCCGTAAAAACTACAGCTTAAAAAGAATCTGCGATAAAGTGAACTTTGAACACGCGAGTGGACTCCGTATATATGTGAGGTTGAATTGGAACTTTGATTATTCGGCGCCAAATGCATCGGAGTGAGACGGCAGAACAAAAAAAAAAAAATATATATAAATATATATATATATATATTTTTTTTAATGTACACACACACACACATTCGCCATTTTAAAACATGAGATTCATGGGAATGTAGCAGAAACGTGGGAGGATATTCAGTGTCAGTCTCACAAACGAGACAAAAGAGGGTGAAGTCATTACCAATGTTAAGGAACGGGGAGAGGCGCGGTGTGAAGTTTCTGGACATTTAAAATTAGACACACTCATTTCCATAAACAGAGCAACAATTTGCATGTTGGAACACAAGTGTGAGTGAGTGATGTGTCGCGAATGACCTGAAAAGTGGCCACATATTCATATTCTTTCTGGATCATTGAAAAACAAATGCTAAAAATGCTGGAGAATGTAACACAAGAGAAAATAGCAACGAATAAGAGCTTGACAATAAACATTCCCGACTTTGGTACACGTTCAGGCATGTTGACGCCCACCCGTCTGAAGAGTTGCCAGCAGTCGACAGAAGTTTGGTAAAGCGCTTTCATTCAGCCACTCAGGCTAGACGAACATTTGCTCATTGAACATGTTTATGGACGACAGGTAACGATACATTTGGCCATAAGCCATAGCAGTTGTTTACAGAGTAGCTGTTGGATCGGTTAGCAATGGTTAGTAGTTGGCGCTAGCAGTTGTTTGTCATTATTTGCAATTGTTGTGAAAAGTTGTAATTGGCTGTAATTGGACACTGGTAGCTGTTGTAGCGTTTGTTAGCAGTAGCTAGATATGCGACAACTCAATTGTTTCCGAGGGCATTTTCGTGTATCACGTCGCGCAGGTCTGTGTTGCACTTTAATTAGCTCTGGCTTGTGAAAAATGTTGTTTTCCGTGTCTATTTTTAGATGATGCGCAATGGGTTGTCCTCTGTCAATTTGTTTTCAATTTGCTCATTTTGGTACAAGTGGTGTCTGTCACGCGCACGCCGGGATAGCGCATCTTTGTCCACCCAAAAAGTGTTGATCGCTAGCTAGACTATATCGGATTATCCCAACCAATAGCTGTTAGTTGCTACCAGTTATTGTAGAAGTCATTGTTGGCAGGGAGTAAGTTAGTAGTTATTTTCGTGAGCAGTTGCTATCGGGAATTGTTAGCAGTCGCGGTAATCCATTGGTGGTTGTTGTTGGTGGTAATTGCTAGTGCTAGTTGCAGTAGTTGTTAGCAGTTACTGTAGATATGGTTGTTTCAGTAGCAGTTAACGGTTGTTCAAAGCTGATCGCAGTTATTTTAGCCACGGTTGTAGCAGGTGTTGGTAATTCTTGTTCGCATTTATTTGGAATTGTTGTTCGTAAATGTTGGCAGTCATTGCTAGCAGAAGTTATCGTAGGAGTAGCTGCAGCAGCGGTTCTCACTTGTTTTGTTTCCATCTTTTTATGAAATTTTCGTGAAAAGCGCCATCACGTCAGCTCCGAAAGAATCACTTGGAGTGACACAATCTATTACGAATGATAATACCGGACAATCGAGGCTCTGACTATTCCTCATTGTTTTTTTTGTGCAGAGGAACAATGAAGCCAGATAAGATTAAAGAGTAACACGGGTGTAACCGAATAACTCGAAATACGAGGAAGCGCAGAACTTTTGCATGGATTAACCAGGAGGCCGCTATTTGCAGGGGTGAATTCCCCTGAGCCTTTCTTTAACATTGACTGACTAAAACGAGCCCGAGGCGAAAAGTACTCTTAGCTATTGACGACGTTGCTGCGTTATCTCTCGCTGTCTAAGAATAACCGTGACCTCCCGTCAGCCGAACCCGCCCAGAGGTTAACTCCAGGGGGTGCTGCAATGCCGCAAAAGGTCTCAGGGTGTGCATGTACACACTGTTGCCCAATAGACACACACACACACACACACACACACACACACACACACACACACACACACCC